TGCGCCAACTGTGTTTGCAAGAGGAGGTGAAGCTGGTCTTCGCACTCTCTGCGTTGTTGTGTCTCACAATGCCAACCTCTCTTCATCTCAATGACGGCAGGGTAGAATACCTTTACGCGTTTCATCTGCTTACACAACAAACTCCTTAGGAGGGCGAACTCCGACGAGTACTTTAACAGACAAAAGAGAACAACACCTTGTCTCTTCCCATACTTATACTCCAGTGTGTTGCGCACACTACGAGGAGATTCAAGTTACCAAGATACCAATGTAACAAACATAATAGCTGATTCGTTGCTCTGCTTGCTGATGATATATCAATATGCTCGTTATATAAATTTTTCATTTACCCACTTTTCGACTCATACGTTCATCCGAAGAGAGGAAACTGAAACCAGCAGAATGAATATTCAGACAAAGAAAATTGATCGGACTTTCCATAGGCAGTCCGTTCGACCACGATAGCCGTGTCTCCCAACATTATCCAGTGCTAACAAGAATCATGCGTCTATCAAGATCAACGCTCCAACATGCGGCCGTGTGGTATCCTGCATTTTCTTGTGACACCCTTCAAAATGCATGCGCAAGAAATGAGACAAGGATGAGAGAGAAAAAAAGAAAGCAAAATAGAAACAAATAAAGAAACAAAAGAAACGATAGAAACAAAAAGAAGGAAACGAAAATTGAAAGTCAACTTTTCTTTGAATCTACCCAAGTTTTGGTGCGCGGTACATATGTTTTAAAATTTCTGGTACGTTCGTGTGTCATGACAGGTGCTAAGTCGGTGGACTGCGCTCTTAACCGTATTGTGGGGGATGCTGAAAAACGTTTCCTTAATGTCATAGCATCTCCCCAGGACTCTCCTTCGCCGAAAGTTAGCATTGTGCTCTCTGGCTGCCCTCTAAGACCATGCACTAAATTGAGGTGGAAGTGTGCTTTCTTATCATACCGTGCCAGCATAAAGTGCGAGGCCCGTGGACCGCATCGCTGCACTGTAATAACCAGGTCAGCACAGGCCGGTGAAATTGGTCACCACCCGTCAAGATCTTAGTCCTTGGGAATGATATACATTCTCCCAAACCTACTTTTGGTCCTCTGAACCCCCAGCGTCCCAGTTCTTCCAGTTCGTCGCCCGATGGTTAGTCCTGCCCTGGTATTCGCCATCACCATTCTATCAATCAGTTCATAAGTTTCATACCCCCCGTTCCAAGTAAAGGTCTTCCCAAACCCGAACCTATAGAGTACGGGACATATTATTGTTGTGCCGCCCACATTCCTCTTCATCGGCACCAGTGGATAGGAATATGGGCGACTCTGAAGCAACTTTGACCGACTTTGGTTGACTTTGAAGCGGATTGGGCTGACGTATATCATCCCCACATTCCTATCAACCGTCAAACGTTTATCCCACCCACGTACTTGGCTTTTGAGAATGATATACGTTCTCCCAAACCTACCTCTCGACCCCCATTGTCCCAGTTTTGCCAGTCCCGCCGCCCTATTGTTAGTACTGGTATTCACCATCAACGTTGTATCAATCACTTCAGACGTTTCGAACCCTGCGCTCCAAGTGAAGGTCTTCCCAAACCCGAAAGTAAAGTACGGGACACATTATCGCTATCCTTCCAAGCTACCTCACTGGTCTGATACTTGATAAAACAGCTCGACAAATATGGTAATAATAGTGAACAATTCTTCAAATACAACGTGGCTTGCAATACACTTTCTTAGACACAAAAACTGCTAACCAACCGGCTTCTCCTATGGACGGTTTTCTCCTTCCTGACAAACCCCCGCACGTTCTCCAAGTCCCTAAAACTGATGAGCACATGTCCACTATGTTAGGG